GTATAGTATTTAATTATAATTCTAATAGAATTGAATGTAATTTAGAATTTAAATATAATAGTTATACTTCTAAGTTAAATTTAGATAATGTTATACCTAATTATAAACCTTATATTTTATTAAGGACACACACTGCTAATAAAACTAGTCAAAGATTTAAATCTATAGCTTTTAAATTTCAAACTGTTAAGGGGATGGTACCTTTATATGATTATTTTATGGTTAATAGACTGTACTCTGATTTTAAGTTTTATAGATTAACTAAAATTAAAAAATTTATAGAGATTAGAAAATATCAGAAATCCGATTTTGACAGTGTAGAATTTAAAATTTATTCCGATTTTGTAATGGATTGGATACAGTATCAAAATCCTTTATGGACAAAAGTACCTTTTGTTAAAAACCTCCGGAGTAAATAAAGAGATAGTCCATATTATGCATTTCCACTATGTTTTATCAATGGGAGCCGTATTCGCTCTATTTGCAGGATTCTATTTCTGGACTCCTAAAATCATTGGTTTAACATATAACGAATTCTTAGGTAAAATACACTTTTGGTGTATGTTTTGTGGGGTTAAGTACATATTTCAACCAAATACTCTAAACTTTTGGGGGTATTTATTTTATGAAAAATATTACAGTTCTAATCATGAACTAAGAAATTATTCTACGAGTTCAAACGATACACTAGATCCTTGGTTTATCACAGGATTTGCAGATGCTGAATCTAGTTTCTCTGTTTCATGTTATAAAAACAATAAGTTAAAAATAGGTTGGGAATTACAACCTGCTTTTTCTATTGGATTACATTTAAAAGATTTAGGACTTCTACTTAAAATAAAAAATTTTTTCAATGAAGTAGGTAGAATTAAAATAGATAGGTTAAATAATAAAGTACAATATACTGTAACTAGAATTAAAGATTTAAACACTATAATAATTCCTCACTTTAAAGAATATCAGTTAATGACTCAGAAGCGGGCTGATTTTATTTTATTTAATTCAATCATAGATAAAATAATTAAAAAAGAACATTTAACTATGGTAGGATTCTGTGAAATTTTGGCTATTAAATCTCAGTTGAATTTAGGATTAACACCAGAATTATTAGAGATCTTACATAAAAATCAAGTTGAATCCCCTTTAAAGAGAGAAATTATAGAAGTTACTGACCAGCGATTGAATCCTTATTGGGTTGCTGGTTTTGTGTCTGGAGATGGTTCTTTCAATGTTAGTTTAGGTAAAGATCCTAGAAACACCATAGGTTTTAGAGTTGACTCTCGCTTTTCAGTGGGATTAAATTCTAGAGATGCTAACCTGATTGAAAATCTAGCAAAATTTTTTAACTGTGGTGTCATTTTTACCTCTCAAAATAGACCTGTCATTCATTTTACTGTAGGTAAATTGGAAGACTTAACAAATGTAATTCTACCTTTTTTTAACAATTATCCTGTTCTGCGCAAGCGACGGATTAAAAGCTTAGATTTTTTTGATTTTTGTAGAATAATATCTTTAGTTAAAAATAAAGAACATTTAACAGAAAATGGAATAAAGAAAATACATGAAATTGTATTAAATATGAATCAGAGAAGAACTCCTTAAAATATACCCCTTTAATAAATATTTAACGATCCTGCTGCCGTACGGATGCGGTAGATAAGGACTACGGACTACGAATCAAGCTGTTTTTACCGCTTGCTTTAGTGTACGGGGAAGCAGTAGGTAAACAGAAATTAAGCTTTTGGTTTATATTTGAATATTAATTGCCAAATAGCCTCTTAAAGAGTATAGAGATTTATATTAAGGGTATAATTATTATTATTATATGTACCTTAGTTATCCGGCCTACGGAGAGGTAGATTAGTTAATTAGCCCCACATTTTTAAACATTCTTCTATATGCTGGAAACTCCTAAAGCTAAATCTACCTTGGCACTCTGAATTAGGACTTTTTCTTAATAAAGGTAAAATTTGCCTTAAATTAAAAGTGGAAATTAGGTTAAAACGGTTTAGATATTACAGTGGACAATCAGCAAGAAATTTGAATATTTATAATTAAATATTGTAATATCTTTAGAGATTATACGAAGGAAATTTTCAAAATTTAAACCTTTATTAAACTGTTAAAAATTAAGTTTAGGTTAAAGGGTTAACTATTATTATTAGTTATTTAAGTTTATTTAAATTAATAAATAGTCCAAACCTATTTTAAATAATAGGAAAAATTGTAATTTAACTTTCTTCCCTCAACATTTCTTAGGTTTAAGTGGTATGCCTAGAAGAATCCCTGATTACCCTGACGCTTTCGCGGGATGGAACGCTGTTTCAAGTTTCGGTTCATTAGTTTCAGTAGTAGCTACCGTTCTATTTGCTTATATCATTTATGATATTTTTGTAAATGGTAAAGAAGTGAATAATAACCCTTGGGCTATTCCTTCATACTTTACTTCAACATTACAATTTAATAATGAAGCACAAACTGCTAATACTTTAGAATGGGCATTAGCTAGTCCAATTCCATTCCATGCATTTAATATGTTACCTGTTCAATCTTAAATTGATACTAATTTTTACGTCTCCATTCTTAAATCAGTTTTTAATTTAGATTAGGGAGGCTTAAAATTTTTAACCCCCTATTATTTCGAGCCCTTAATCTAATTTTTTAATACCATTAACTTGATTAAAGTTATTTTTTTAAAAGAAGGGTCAGAGTACACAAAAATTTCGCGAGTATAGTTAAGTGGTATAACATCTGTCTTCCAAATAGATATCATCAGTTCGAGTCTGATTATTCGTATTTATATATTTTACTTTAATTCTCTGTTGCTTGCTTGCTTCGCTCTTCGCTAGTTAAAAAAATTATAAATAGTTACTTGTAACTATTTATAATTTTTTTTTTAAGCAAGCGGATGCTTTGCTTTGCTGCGCAAGCAAGCGGTCGAAGGCCGCAGGCGTTATAAAAATTGTTTAGCAAGGGCTACGCCAGACTCTTTATGATGCTTTGCTTTGCTGATGCTTAGCTTCTGTTATCTTTTATCGGGTCACGATCACAGATCCTTATCAAATTTTTATATTTATATCGGTTAAAAAAAAATAATAGTTATCTTTGATAACAATTATTTTTTAAAGCCAAGCGCTAGTTAAAAAAATTATAAATAGTTACTTGTAACTATTTATAATTTTTTTTTAAGGACGCTACGACTACGGCCGTTAAAAAAATTTATTAAATAGTTACAAAGTAACTATTTATAAATTTTTTTTAGCCCGCAAAAATTTTATTAGGCAAAGCCAGAGATCACAGATCAAAGGCAGAGCCAGAAGCTAAAGCATCGCTTCGCAGGAAAGGACAGTAAGATAAATTTTGATCGGACAAACACAGTTTACCTTTCACTTTTTAATTTAAATTTTTAACTATTTTTAAAGGCAGCTAAGTATAACCAGAGTTTATTAAAACACCCCGCAGGACAATTAATTAGTTTAAGTAGGTAATATTTTGAGTTGTAGTTTAATTTGGAAAAACGTCATTTTTTGGTAGTGAATAATATCAGTTCGACTCTGGTCAACTCAGTAAGAAAGATTAAATTCAAAAGGTTTAGAAAATCAGCTCTTCTAAAAAAATTTATAAGTTTTTTAACTGCAGCTGTGCCTCTGTGCGCTAGCGCTTATAAAAATTTTATTAAATATCGGTTAAAAAAAAATAATAGTTATCTTTGATAACAATTATTTTTTAAAGCCTAGCGCTATTAAAAAAATTATAAATAGTTACTTGTAACTATTTATAATTTTTTTTTAAGGTCGCTACGACTACGGCCGTAGTTAAAAAAATTTATTAAATAGTTACAAAGTAACTATTTATAAATTTTTTTTAGCTCGCAAAATTTTTATTTAGCCTAATAAAATTTATATATATATATATAAATTTTATAAGCGCAAGCAGGCTTTAAAAAATTATAAATAGTTACTTGTAACTATTTATAATTTTTTATTGCGAGGGCTACGCCGCTACGCAGAGCAAGTAACTAATATTATATTTATATGTAATATTTATTAAATCCTAAAAAAAAATGAATACCCCTTTTCCCCTAAAAATGCAGTGCACTAGGGTTAAATTTAAATTTTATATTAAATAACTTTTTTATTAAGCAAGCGTTCAGTTAATTTATAATCAACTTTTAAGTCAGGCAAGGCACAAGACTAAAGGCAGTGCAGGGTAACAATAAAATTTGTTTAATAAAGATATATTATTTAATATAATGTTTAAATTTTTTATAGACTTCTGCAAAGACAAAATAAAAAATTTGATGCTTAAAAATTTGACTGATTTTATCTTAAATCATCAAATTTTTATAGCTAAAAAAAATTTTTTTTTACCAGCTCTTAATATATAAATATAAAAATTTGGTAACGGTAAATTTTTGTAGACTAAAGTAAGCGGTAAATTTTTTTAAGCCGCGGTTCAGTTTTTTCCAGGGTTAAGTCACAAAAATTTTTTAAGCCTTGATAAGTTATGTTAAGCAGAGGTGACAAGATGAGCGTCTAGCTTTTTAGTTCTCTTAAAAAAATTATAATTTAGTTACAATTTTTTTAGTGCTTTGTGCTAAGCTACTTTGATTGAATAATTATTTATTTTCAGGTTAAATGTTTTTTTTTAAGGTTAGCAGGATAAAAGAATAAAAAAAGGGGTAAGGTTATAATTGTAAAATAGAATATTGCTTAAAACACTAGGTTTACTTATAATCAATAAGTCTGTAAAAAAATAAAAATTTGCTTAAAAAATTTTAATTTAATAAAAATTTTTTTTTAGGGCTCTATGGTCTTTAAAAAATAGTTAAAATATAATATAAAAATTTAACTATTTTTTATTAGTCTTTATAAAAAAAATTTTTTTTTTATTTTTAAGTTAAAAAAATTTATATTGGGTAAAAATAAAATTTGGCTCCGTGGGCTAAAAAAAATTTATAACAGAGTTATAAATTTTTTAAGGAAAAGAATATAAATATAAGATACAGAACTCGATCAGGTTGAGTGTCTCCCTTTTAAGGAGAAGGTCTTGGTTCAATTCCAAGTGTTTCTATTTTGAAATTTTTTAGCGTTTTGCTTAATCCAAAAATTAAACAAATTTTATGTTCTTATACCCCTATAAAAATTTAAATTTTAGCGGGCTAAAAAAAAAATTATCATTTTTTTTAAGGCAAGCAATTAAAAATTTTTATTACAATCAAATTTTTTAAGGCTAATAAAATTTTTATAAGCGCAAGCCGGAAAAATTTTATTTCTACAGTAGTATTTTAAAATTAAAAAAAAAATTTATAATTTTTTTTTAATTGCTATGCCTACTTCAAAAAAAGAAAAAAGGATCAAATTTGAAGTTTCTTCCAGGGTTAATAAAGACTAAATAGGGGCAGGTGATCCGATTGGTAATGGTGGTTCTCTGTAAAAGAATTGGTTTATAGCCGTAAAAGGTTCGATTCCTTTACTGCTCAAAAATAAAAATAAAAAATAAAAATAAATAAAAAAAAATAATATTAACCTTGGATCAGACCCTGAATTTTATTCTGTAAATTTGCGACTACTGAAATAATACACATTTTATAGGTGTAGAAGTTGATATTTAGGAGGGGTCGGAGGAGTCGGAGGAGTCGGAGGAGTCGGAGGAGTCGGAGGAGTCGGAGGAGTCGGAGGAGTCGGAGTCGGAGTAAGAGTACTTTATGTACATTAAATATCAAACATAACTATAAAAGAGTATATCACTTTATTAAATACGATATATTCAAATCATTATTGTAGTACAAATTAGATTGAGTGAAATCGTATACTTATCTACGGTAGTTTAATTTTACTTAAGGTTAAATCCTAAGCATTTTGAGGAGATGGTCTGAGCACCTATTTAATAACTTCTTTTTTACAAATGAAAACAATTTTACACTTTTTTAGTAGATATAGATTGGATTTGACGGTATATTACTATTAAAACCAATCCTAAGAGCAATTTTACGAGAATTCTTAAGTTTCTTAGCTCATTAAATGCTTCACCTTCAATATTTTAGGTAAAAATATGGTATTATTGTTAAAGATAGGGGGTTTTTTTAATTTTTAAAGTAAAAATATTTCATGTTTTAATAAAATTATTAAATTTCCGCATTATTTATTAATTTTATTTACAATAATATCTGAATATTTGTATGGAAATGTTTTATATAAACAAGTACCGACGGTACCATCATTATTTATACATTTTTGATACAGTGAATGTCGTTTATTTGTAGTAGCTTTTAGAATATATGCCATATTAGCAACTGTAATTTCTGAAGTATACATATTTTTAAACCACTTTTCTTGAGTAAACTCAAAACTAGTATTAGGTTTTAATAAATTTAATAAAATTGAAAAACTCAAATCTTTTAGAGCAACACTTGTTACACCTTTACCTTTCATAAATTCTTCACCTTTTTCATTGATGAAGCCATAAAATTTAGGTGCTAAAAATACTGCTTCTTTAATTATATGTTCTAATTTGAATTGACCAATTTTTGTACCAACAAAAACTTCATCAAGCTCCTTATTAATAACGACACTGTCAGTATCAGAGTAATACAAATTAAAAGCAGGGTTATTTTTAATCGGTGACATATAGACCCTACCACCGGAGGTGACAGCACTTGCAATTGCAATATTTACATCAAGTCCATGATAGAGATCTTCACCCCCTTCAACAATTGATTGAATTACTGATTGTTTTACTAGAATACAGAAATCCTCTAATTGAATGTAATCTTTAAGAGAGTCTCCATATAAATCCAAATTATTTTGCAGTTGTAAAGCTTGTTCTGGATCAGTACTATCAAAGATTTCGACAGTAGTATTTTCTGATCGCATACCAAATTTTCCATACAAACTATTCATAAGTAATTTAGCAATAAGGTTCATGGGGTCACTTTTAGGATAAGTTTCCCTGATAGCACCCATTTTAGCAACGAATTTATCAAAAATAATCGCTGTTTCAAATTTATAACCTTTAAGTATTTTAAACTCATAACCTAAATGTAATACCGCATCTAATTCAGAAGAACAAACCCAACCTGTCCATTCACCAGTACCAGCTACAGTTCTTAAACCATTAGCTGTTTTAATTCGTCGTTGTAAGATAGGATGTTGAATATAATCCGGACAAAAAATATGACAATAGAAGAAACCAAAAGCTTTGGGATCCACTGCTCTAATGTCACCTTCAAAAGCAATTGGTTTACCCACTGGCATTTTAAATGAAGCCATAACCTTAGGGTATAAGCTGTTAACGTCATAGTAGTAACATTGAGTTTTTTCATTGACTGAAAAATCATTGTGAATAACATTATGATGTTGATAGACATCCACTGCTCCTCCTGTGTAGGACTCTCGAATGTCTTTTTCAACATTCCCCAATAACTGATAAATGGTATCTTTAGGCATATAATGTACCTTAAATATTTTCATAGATAGAGAAGGTAAAGTTAATGAACCGTGTATGTTAACACTAAATTCTTTAAAAATCAATTCATTGAATTTAATTAGAACTTCGTATAAACAAGCACAATCCATATAGCAGTATTTTATAGATTCATCTCTAAAACTCCACTTAATACCTGTTTTATTAAACTCTCTTCTCAGATATTCATACTCAAATAATTCCATTTTAGACCAAAATTTATATTCTGGGAATTCACCAACATAATTTATATCAGATAATAAGAAAGGGAAATTAGTTTTCTGAGATGTAACTCCAAAAGATTGACATAAATTACGTAAACCTAATGGCAATAGTAAATATGAATCCTTAAAAATTATAGTTCTATCTTCAACTTTTAATTTAATAGCCATTAGTTTACCATTAAAGATTACAGGGGTTACATGTTTTGAATTAAAATTTATTAAATGTTTTAATAGTAATATCCCATCAAATCCACTCAAATTATGTGCATAAATGTTTCTGACTTTTTTATTTTCAACAATTTGTGTTATGAAATCTAAAAATAAAGCAGTTATAGATTCATTTGATATGTCATCTGCATAGGAATGATAATAATTTTTACCATCAAAAGCACATATTAAATAAGGCAATTGTTGACCATTGATGTTTACAGTCTCTATGTCCAAAGTTAAAAATTTATTATTATTTAGACTATTTTCTTTTTGCAGTTTTCTAAAAGAGTAGTTAGTTTAAATTATTTCCTATGTTAGACACTATCACAAATCTTTATGTAAACAAACTATGTTAGCAGCTGCTAAATATATAGGTGCAGGATTAGCTTGTTCAGGATTAATCGGAGCTGGTGCAGGGATCGGAATTATCTTCTCATCATTAATAGCTTCAACAGCAAGAAACCCTCAAATTAAATCACAATTATTCAGTTACGCAATTCTAGGTTTTGCTTTAGCCGAAGCAACCGGTCTTTTCTCATTGATGATCGCATTCTTATTATTATACTCATAATTGGTTATGTAAATATCCTTAATTTTAAACAAAATTATTAATTCCCCCTTTGATAAGGCAAATCTAAAATTAAAATATCAAAACTTTTCAACTTCATTTTGTTCGTTAAATGACAAATCGGCAGCTCTACCTCTGACATTACCTAGTTTTGCTACTTAAGCTGTAAAAACTTACCTAAATCCTATCTCACAACGTAATGACATTCTTAAAGACACTCAGAATAAATCTGGTGTTTATTGTTGGATTAACCTATTGAATGGTAAATATTATATTGGTAGCGGTTTAAACCTAACTAATAGATTAAACGATTATTTTCAAGATTGGTATTATAAAGATAGAATTAATTTACCTATTGTTAGAGCTATCCTTAAATATGGAATGGATAATTTCGCATTACTTATTTTAGATTTGACCGATCAAGAAAATACTTTAGTTAAGGAACAATTTTGGTTAGATAAGATTAAACCAGATTATAATATTTTAACTCGTGCAGCTAATTCTTCTGGTTTCAAACATTCAGCTGAAAGTATCGAATTAATGAGACAGAAGGCTTTAGGTCGAAACCACTCAGAAGAGGTTAGAAAGGCGATGAGCGATAATCGGAAGGGTGAAAAGGATCATTTTTTGGTAAATCTCATACTGAAGAGACTAAAGCAAAGTTAAGGGAAATAGCTTTAAATAGAACTAAACTACCTCGACCTGGTAATGAAGTTGAAGTATTAGATCTAAAAACAAATCAAACAACAATATACAACTCACTACGTGATGCAGTTAAAGGTTTAGATACTCACCTTTCTACATTATTAAGAAGAGAAAAAAAAGGTAATGCAAAACCGTTTAGAGGTAGATACGTTATTACAATTAAACGATCTTAATGTTATTATATTTAGTGTAGCCTTATTTACATTCCCGGCGAAGCCGCTATTGTAGATTAGCTATTCTTTAAGAACTCAGGGTCTCGCACCCTCCTAGTATAGCCTTGCTTTAGCCTCAGCACCAGGCAGTAAGGTTGGTTAAAAAAGTTTTGTTTTTTATAGTCATTTATTACATGAATTTCTAATTTATTGTTAAAATATAATCGATTATCAAAAGACTCTTTTAATTTTGGAACCTTTTTTATAAATTGTTTTTGTAAATTTAGTTTACTTTCTATAAAAGGGATAACTATCTAATAACTTGTAGCTATGTTGTACGGATTGAAAACTAAACAAAATATAACTTATAATATAAGGTGAGCATTAATGATCGCTTTCTTATTATTATACTCATAATTTGGTAATTTTACCCCCTAAATTTTTAAAAGAATGTTTAACTTAAAAATGGAAAATATTAACTTTTTAATACTACTTTTTATTGTAATTAAAGCGAATCTTTCCTATCTTGCTGCTAAATACAAATTTTTTATTTATGATGCTTTGCTTCTATGATGCTGTAGCTTGCTTGCTGCCTTCGGTGCCTTCGGACCCAGGCAAGTCAAGCGATAAATTTTTATCAGCGCAACTAATACAAATTTGGCCGTGTCTGCGCACCGCTTAAGCGAGGCAAAGATAAATCAGTCCTTAAAAAAAAATTATAAATAGTTACAAGTAACTATTTATAATTTTTTAAAGGAAAGGACAGCCAGACAAATTTGTGTTTTTATTTTAATATTTAAGGGATGATCTACATCGGCATGTAAGTGTATCTGCTAAATACTGGATTAATTCCATTGAAGGTTCGAATCCTTCTCATCCCGTTTTAAAAAAATAATAGCTACTTTGGATCAAACTCAGAACAGACAAATTTAAAAAGTGTATTTTTGAAAAGTCTCAAATATTTAAATTTAACATTTTAGAATTAAAAGAGTGATGTTAAAAAGCTAAAACATCATAATTGTGATATTTTATAGTAGCAAACCTGAAAACTTATCGGATTATACTTTATAAGACAAAATATAGGTGGGAAGAGTTACCAGTATTACAATTTAGCTTACATATTGGTTTATAAATTTCACTTCATTAATTTTGAAAAAAAAATTAACAATCTATCTTAAGGTAGATTCAAAAGGGGGGTTTGTTTATATTCTGTAATTAAAAACTAAATTAATAAAATTATTTATCTGATTTGGTATCATCATTTAAAATAATTTCATCATAGTTAAGAGGTGATGTTGAAGAAAAAATTTCTAGACCGGTATTGGGGTCTATAATATAATTTAATTTACGTTTATTATTCGTAACACATAAGTTATAAGAAACTTCTTCTAGACTTATGTGTCCTGTTAGTATTTTAGCTCTAAACTTTTCCTGGTTTAGATCAATACTTGAATTTTTAACTAATAATTTGTAAAAATCATAAATTCCAAATTTGACGTTAGAGATGTTAAAACCTTTAATTTTAGCAATAAATTCAGAATTTGTTAATTCCATTGCATAGGTTTTAGGGGCTAATCCTACAAATTTACTTATAATATGTTCAAGTTTCCACATACCTAGTTCGTTTCCTAGTCGTCTATGGGTAATTCTTTGTTTATTATAATTGAATCCGTATCGGAATAGTATAATTTAAAATCATCACGATTTTTATAGGAAGACATATGCAGTCTTCCCCCTGCAGTTATTGTAGCTGCAACACCAATATTAACGTCTAATCCATAAAAAACATCATTCTGTTCATCATGGATCCCGCTAGGAATATTTTTTCTGACTAAAATGCAATGACCATTATCGATTCTTATTAAATCTGTCACAATACCAGTATCAAGTCCTAAATCGATACTATCCGCAGTTTCCTGTGTTAAAGTATCTGAATTAGTTTCTATAACTTCTACCAGAGTATATTCAAAGAAAAAAAGTTCGAGAGTTTGATTTTCATCTCATTTAAAAAGAAGAAATCGCTGAAAGCGCCCAAACCAGTAGCAAACCTGAAAAACTTATAGGATTATAGTTTATAAGACAAAATATAGGTGGGAAGAGCTATCAGTATTACAATTTTAGCCCACATTTGGGGTTTATATATTTCACTTCATTAAAATTAAAGAAAATTAACAATCTGTCTTAAGATAGATTCAAAAGGGGGCTTATTTTATGTAAACATAATTTCATAATTTTAAATGTAAAGTGGATGAAAAATTATTTTTTTTTATCTGATTTAATATTATCATTTATCACAATGTCCTCATAGTTAAGAGGTGATGTGGATGAGAAAACTTCTCGGCCAGAGTTTGAATCTAAAATATAATTTAATTTTCGTTTATTATTCGTAACACATAAGTTATAAGAAACTTCTTCAAAAGAAATTTGTCCTGTTAATATGTTAGTTCTAAACTTTTCTTGGTTTAGATCTATACTTGAATTTTTAATTAATAATTTGTAAAAATCATATATTCCAAACTTAGTACTGTTTAAGTTAAAACCTTTAATTTTAGCAATAAATTTAGAATTTGTTAATTCCATTGCATAGGTTTTAGGGGCTAATCCAACAAATTTACTTATAACATGTTCAAGTTTCCACATACCTAATTCGTTTCCGACTTCTTCTGTGGATAATTGTTTATTTATTATAATTGAATCCGTATCGGAATAGTATAATTTAAAATCTTCACGATTTTTATATGGAGACATAAAAAGTCTACCCCCTGCAGTTATTGTAGCTGCAACACCTATATTGACATCTAATCCATAAAATACATCATTATGTTCATCATGGATACCACTAGGAATATTTTTTCTGACTAAAATGCAATGACCTTCATCGATTTGTATTAAATCGGTAATTATAGCTTTTTCAGCCCCTAATTCTATGTTTTTCGCCGTATCAGGGGTAAAAACATTTGAATTAGTAGGTAAAACTTCTACAACCGTATGCTCGGGTTTCATTCCGAATTTTCCATATAAACTATTTAATAATAATTTAGCAATGGTATATAGAGGTGAACCTTTGCTATTTTCATTTTTTATTTGATACAAAATATCGACATAAGTATTGAAAATAACCTTTGGTTCGAATAAATACCCCCTAATAATTTTAAATTTATACCCTAAATGTTTTGTGTTGTGAAGTTCATCAGAATGAATCCAACCTGTCCATGAACCTAAACCAGCGATAGTTCTAAAACCATCTTTTGTTTTAACTTTTCTTTGAAGTATTGGATGTTCTAAATAATCAGGTGTTGTAATATTACAATAAAAAAAACCATAAGCTTCAGGATTAACTTCTAGAATATTACCTTCAAATGCGATAGGTTTACCAGTTGGCATTGGATAATTAGCCATTATTTTTGGATATAGACTGTTAACATCATAAACATACAGTTCTTCAGCCCCATTACAGTTATGAGGAACATATAAATCAACGGCTCCACCAGTATAGGCTTGTCTAATATCCTCTTCCACTTCACCTAATATTTGATACAGAGTATCTTTTGGTAAAAAATGAGTTTTGAATATTTTCATAGCCAATGCTGGAAGAGTTAACGCTGTGTGAATGTTAATTTGAAAGTGAGAATAAATTAATTCGTTAAATGCAACTAAAATATCGAATAATGATTTACAATCAATATTACAATATTTGATTGCTTCTTCACCAAATACCCAATTTTTATTTACAAAATTTGATTTAAAAACATTATATTCTTCAAAAGAAATTCCTTCCCAATATTCAAATTCTGGTATTGGTCCATCATAAAATAATGTTTTTAATTGATTATCATAAGGTGAAAAATGAAAAGGGAAATAAGTTTTAACAGTTGAAACCTTAAATGTTGAACATAAAGTTCTTAAAGAATTTGGTAGAAGTAACATAGAATCTTTAAAAATTATAATTCTTGTCTTTTTTCCTATTTTAATTTTTAGTTTAATTGACATTAATTTTCCGTTAAATATCATAGGTTCAACTATACCAGTGTAACCTAAATCTAAAAATACTTTTGAATCTACAAATGATATTAAATGTCGAAGTAATAGTGGACCATCAAATTTAGAAAAGTTATGAGCATAAACATATTTGATACTTTGAATAGAAATTAATTTAGATAAAAAGGAATGAAACATATCTCTTGTATAAAAACCTAAATTGTCTAACATTTCTTCATAAGTGCTAGTAAATTCCTGAGCTTCTACATCTTTAAAAAGAACTCCTGCATCTAAATATTCATGAAATGAACCAATTGAATGGCAATAACCTGAAATTAGGTAAGGTTTATGAACTTTACCCACTAAAATGGTTTCAATATCTAAAGTTAAAAAACTGTCAATAGGTAAAAGTTCTTTTTGTGGAGCTAAAGGTTGGAATGGTTTAGCATTTTTCACCTTTTGTTTAATAATAATTTCTCCATTTTTAATGTAAAACGTTGAACGGTTAATTTCCCGTGTAAAAACATCATTATTAATTTTAGTATCAACCCATGAAATTCTGCTAGCTCCTAATATCGATACAAAATTTGTTTTTGAATCTAAACTCTTGTTGATCTGAAAGACATAATTATCTTTTACTACAATAAACTTATTCACTTCTAAACCTTCATGTTTTATATTCAACTCTGTAGCTATAACTGTACCATACGCATCAATATTCATACTTGTTGGTAATTTAAGGCTATTATAAACCTGTGGTTTACTTTCATATTTAGATTCCTCTAGAAAAGCTAGATGACCTGTTGCTTGGCCTTCATAAATGATATAGGAGAAAACAATTTTTTTAACAGCGTTAGTGTGATATGATTCTCCTAATATATCTATTCGGCCAAACATGAATCTTAGAAAATTTGGCTTGTTATCATAATTTACACAGCGATTTCTTCTTTTTAAATTTGTTGGGGGGTATTAAATCATATTCAATGGTGTTTAATTTAGTACAGTAAAAAAAATTTTTTAATGATATATAAAAGTATCGATGACAATATAGTTTTAACATCACAAAGTATTTTAAAGGGGTTATTAAGGATAACTAGCAAATTTATAAAAAAAGGAGGTTAGTAACCAAATGCCACAAAATTAAATTTAAATTTTAAATTTAAATTTAATTAACTAATTGTGGCGATCCTAAGGGAAACCTTTATTATTATTACTTCCTGAAGTAAATCATTTCAGTAAGGAAAGGAAAGGAAATCAACCGAGACTCCGAAAGTAATGGTGAGTGAAATCGGATTAGCCTAAATAATTTCATAAATTGAAGAAACCAAAGAAGGTTAAAAGTCCTGTAAATTTATAAAATTATTTCTTTATTTTAAACATCTCTCTTAATTAAAATTAATTTTTAAATAAGAGTTATAATCTACCAAACCAAATATTTTGGAATGGTTAACAAAGATGAATCTAAAATAAAGTAAAAAAAAAAGTACGATGAGAGATAACTTGTCGGAATATAGGGGAACCATCCTCTAAGGCTAAGTAATATAAATTTAGCGATAGTGAAAAGTACTGTAAAGGAAAGGTTGAAATAGCATGTTATAGACATAGTGAAATAGTCTTGAATTAGTAACTCTATAAGCAGTCGAAATTTATAAAATAAATAAATGACGGCGTACCTTTTGCATAATGGGTGAATTGCTTGCCCAAAAGAATTGAGAAATTCTTTAAACTACTGACTCATGACCTTAACAGGTCGGTATTATTTATTCGATAAATAATGCTAACGGTGGACCCCTAAGGATAAAATATCTATGGAAATACCGTGGGAAGCTGTAAATCGTAGGAATAAGTAAAATTCAATTTACTAAGTAAAATTAAACTTTAGTTTAAATTTACTCTTTTTATTAGCCCTGTAACGACTTGGTGGCAAACCACCAGACTGGTTGCTCTTGCTCTGATCTATTTAAGCATCTCACGCAAGACAAAATCGGTAACACGTCAGCACTCAAATATTCCAAAAAATTAAGGTAATATTATTATAAAAAAAAAAAATTTTTTTAAACAATGGTTGTTAATTAAAAAATTGGCAGCTATTTACCAATAGCTTTACCAAAGCTACTTACAAATATTAAGTAGCTGAGTAAATGTCTAATTATATCTTTTGTGTTTCCCCGTTAGTGTTCACAAATAAAGAAAAAAAATTCAAATCTGTTAAGGTTCTTTATTTTAATTACTTACAGTAGTTATTTTTATTTCTTAATAGTATTCTATTGTTAATAAGGTTAAAATTTTAGGGATTAAGGGTCTAACATGGATCTCTGCTTCGATCACCTTAAAATAATTCTAGTTAACCTTATAAATTTAACATAGAAAGGTGCATTACTAGGATGTAAAGGCAGAGATTGTTAGACACTAACAGATGATTAAATAAAAAAAAAAAAAGCTTTAATGAAAAAAAATATAAACTTTATGTTAGTTAGATCTTATAGAAAATCAGCTAAATTTAATTTACAACTAAATTCTGAGTTGAAAGAAATCATTACTGGTCTTATGTTAGGTGATTTATTTGCTGAAAAAAGAAATCCTAATTCTAATACCAGATTACAATTTAAACAATCAGTTAAAAATAAAATATATATTGAACATTTATATACTATATTTAAAGATTATTGTAACTCTGAACCAAAAATAACTTCGTCTATCGATAATAGACCAGATAAAAAAGATTTAAATATATCAATCAAATTTTGGACCCAGAGTTTACCTTGTTTTAATGAATTTAGGGAATTATTTTATAATGAATCAGGTACAAAATTTATACCTTTGAATTTAGAAAAAACAATAACATCTAGAAGTTTAGCCTATTGGGTTATGGATGATGGGTATAAATCAGGTCAGGGGTTTTATTTTTGTACAGAATCTTATACTCTAGAAGATAATAATAAATTAAGCTTAATACTTAAAAATCGATTTAACTTAGAATGTGGAATACATAAACATACTAATGGACATAGATTATACGTATTTAGTAGCTCTAAAGATATATTATTAGAACTAATTAAACCTTATTTAATTGAACATTTTTATTATAAGTTTGATTTAAATTAATCAATAAACACCTCCCCCCTTTTTTTTTTTCCATTTTTAACAATAATATTTTACCTAACATTTTTTTGAGTTGAAGGTATAGTCTAATCCAATTTGAAAATATTGGTATTTAATGCAGCAAGTTAATAGGAGTAGCAAGGTTTAAAGCCCTAGCGAAAGCGACTGGACTAACTAGCAATAATGGTTAAGACCTGAAAAAATAAAATTAAGTAGAAAATGTATATTATTTATATTGTATTTTTATATTATTTTAATATAAAAAGGGATAATGCCTTATAGTCCTTGAAGTTAACAATCTATAGGTTTATAACTTCCTATAAGTTCATTATTTACTAGAAATTAGTGTTGGATAAGTTACTTCTATTAGACCCGAAGCCAGGTGATCTTCCCAAGACCAGATTATAATGGATCGAACGGGTGAATGTTGCATGATTCTCCGAAGAGTTTTGGGAAGCGGTGAAATGCCAATCTGACCTGGTGATAGCTGGTTTTCTACGAAACATATGTAAGTATGACATCTATACAAAATTTATGGAGGTACAGCACTGAATTCCAAATAAATTATGCTAATCTTTTTACCTTAAAAAGGGTTTAAAAAGTAAAGCGTAATCAATTTTTAGGTTGCGGGGACAAAGAAATCCTACCGATGGAAGAGAATCTCGGAATTACATAAATTGATGGTAGATATTCAGACTGCTCATGCTAAGTTGAGTAGTCAAGACGGAAACAGCCGAGAACACGTATCAAGGTCCCAAATGATTATTAAGTGAAAATAAGGCAGTGGCAAGTTGAACACGGCTGTAAAGTGAGCTTAAACGAACTACTTCTGAGCTCACAAACAAAAACTAAAAAGTATGCAAGAAAGCCCTAAAAATGTTTTGCTGTAGACCTTTATAAGGTTTAAACAGAAAAAGTAAACACTTGTACCTAAAATATTAGATACTGTGGGTTACTTGCAAGAATTTAATTTAAATTCTTCAACGACTAAATGCTTAGAACTTTTATTTTAATTTATTGACCTCTTGGCTCCTGCCTAAATTATAGCAGGGGCAGATAGCAAATAAACAAAGTAATAGTTAAGACATAGTCTACCAAGTATGAAAATACTTGATTTTAATAAGTTTGTGGCGAAAGTAATTACATTCTTGTTAACAATATAAATTATTTTTGTATACTTTCGTTACATTTAAATAGTAACTAGAAGGTTGTTGGTTCTACCTGGTTAAATACCCTGTGTCACCTAGAAGACTAGCCCTCTAAACTACGGTTAAAATAGTGAACATTATTTGTAACTACAAAAATTTTAAAAAATTTAAATATTTTATTTAACGCTACTACAATAACACAATTAATGAACCAAAATTTTAATCTGTCACCAGGTTATATTAGTGGATTAGCTCAAACAGACGGTTCTTTCTTTTGTTCAGTAGCAATATCTACTAAACATAGATTCGGTCTTCAATTTAGTTGCGCGGCGCGCAGCTAAATTTAGTTTAACTGCTGATTTAGTCGCCTGCGTCACAAAATATGTTTTAGATAGTATAGCACAATTTTTTGATTGTGTCGCGCAAGCGCAGAAAAGTAAATACTAATCTTAAAACACCGCCTAAAGGCAGTGCTGAATTTATAGTGGAAAAAATCGACGATCTTCAAAATATTATAATACCTCATTTTTCAAATTATCCTGTGTTTTGTGCAAAATTGCACGCTTTTAAGTTATTTAGTCAAATAGTATCTGCTTTAAATACTAAAGACAATAGAACAATAGAAGGTAGAATTGAAATATTAAAAATGGCATTATCTATGAATATTACTACAAATAGATCTAAAGATCGAAAAGAATTATTATTTTCTTTATTAGGAGTAAGTGAAACTAAAGATATAGAATTTATAGAAAATACTATAGCTAATATAACTTCACCTATTACTGATAATAATATAGCTGGTATTATAGATGGAGACGGCTCATTTTATATTTCATTTAATAAAAATGGTTCAATAAAAACAGGGTTCAGTATAACTGGTGATAAAGATTCAAAACCTTTATTAGAAGGTATACAAGCAAAATTTAAAGGTATAGGAAGTATTAAAGAAGGTTCTAAAAACGAATTAGTTTATACTATTACAGGTTTAAATCAAATAATAGATACATTAATACCGTTTATAGATAAAAATCCCTTATTTTCTGAAAGAGCATTACATTTTTACAAATTTAAAACAGTTAGTCTTATCTTAAGTGGTGAACAACCCTTAACATTAGAAAATAAATTAAAAATAGTCGAATTGGCATATGATATGAATAAACAAGGAAAACGTCGAAGTTTAAGTAAAACAGATTATATTAACCTTATAAGAAATGCTTCTAAAATTAATTAAATGAAGAATTGACCCCCCCCCCCTCCGGGGTTTCATTAACTGTTTAACTGTTAAAAACAGGGTAGCTTATTAATAAAATATTAAAAACAAAAGATAGACAAATGGGAAGTAGCTATCTTTTAGAGAACGTACAAAGTAACAACGTAACAGCTAGTAGATTGTTGCACCGAAAATTCAACGGGTCTAAATAATCAACCGATATTGTGTTGGTTATGAATAAAAAATTTTTTTAATCATAATCTAGGTAGTAGAACATTCAGTAAAACTTAAGATAAAACAGTGTTTCATTGTTTTTAGGTAACTGAAGAGATAATGCTGACATGAGTAACGTAAAAAGAAGTTATAATACTTCTCGCCGAATACGAAAGGGTTGTAAGGAAAGGTTAAACCGCCTTATGTTATTGCGGCCTCTAAGGTTCAAAACCAATGTTTTGGCTGATGAGTATTTAGCCTAAAGTCCATTTTACAAAATTTATATCTAATATAGTTAAAAGCTTATTAGATTTTGGGACCAGGAAAATAAAGCTAATATTACTACCGTACCCTAAACCGACACAGGTTCGTAGGTAGAGAATACTAAGGCGTAGAGCTAAAAGTTGTTAAGGAACTCGGCAAGTTCTCCTTCTAAGTTAGACGATAAGAGGAACCAGTAAATTATATTTTTAATTTAACTGGTGGCACAGAATCAGAGGCCCCGACTGTTTACTAAAAACACAATTCAGAGCAATGATTAATATCATAGTATTCTGGATGAAATTTGCTCAATGCCATTAACACAAGAGAGGTGATGGGATGACTGTTACTAATCGAACGTCTGGTGAATAGCGGTCTTAACTATGAGGATCCTAAGGTAGCAAAATCAGTTGGCCATTAAATGTGGTCCGGTATCAGTAGTAGACATAATTCGTTATGCTACTGTCAAATAATCCTATATGTTGGAAAAACTTTAGTTATAAATACTCTTATGAGGTTCAACTATTTAATAAATATCCGGGGCTAAATACAAATTTTATTAGCGCTAGGATGCTCTTAGGCTACTACGAGAATTATAAAAATTTATAACAAGTGTAAAAATAATTAAAATTTATATTATAATATAAATTTTAACCCTTTAAGCAATGAATACAATTATTTATTTTTTTTAAGCAGTAGCGATATTTTTATAAGCCCGCTTAATTTATGTATTTGACCCCAAAAGAGTAAAAATTTTATAGCAATTTAGGTTAACCAACAGCTAAAGAAAAATTTTAATAGTAAAGAAAATATATTTGTTTCTGCTAAGATTCTTTGTAACGTTTTTTGTCTTAGTAGTTAGAAATTAAGAAAAAATAGTACTCAAAAATAGTACTCAAAAATGTAAAACTTTTAATTAGAATTTAAATAGCTTAGAGACTAAATGGATTAAACTTATTAATAGACATAAGTTAAGAAATAGTCCACAATTAAGTATTAAATAGCATATTTAGCTTAAATAATACTTATTTTCGGTAACGATGGTCTCACTGTCTCTACAACTTGCTCAGTGAAATTGAATTACCCGTGAAGATGCGGGTTGCCTCCAGGTGGACGGGAAGACCCTATGCAGCTTTACTGTTGTTAGTTATCATGTTAATCTAGAACAACCTTGGTCCTAGTGATTAGGGATGTCGATAGACGAAAGGTGGAATACCTCGAGACTAGGGTTGGGTTAATATTTACCTTATACTTTATAGGTAGAGGGAAAGGTGGCTAACTGGCAGTTTGACTGGGGCGGTCGCTTTTAAAATAGTATCAAAATGCATCCAATGATTTAATAGGCCGGAAGGCTAATAATATTATTTCCTTACCTAGGAGGCATATCCGAACAGTATGGAAACTAATATCCAGACATAAATAATCAAGCGAATTGATGAGTATTTTTAATACTTTATTCAAGTCTTAGTTCTAACAGTTAGAACTATTTATTTTTTCACTTTTTAAAGGTATAGCTAGAAATTTGAATGGAGGTCAATCGACCAGTGATAAAGGTCGTAATGGTGCAATGGCTTACAGCATGCCTAACTGAAAGACTTAGGAGTCGCACAGATACGTAAGTAGGGCATAGTGACCCCTCGCTATAATATGGGATAGACGGGGATCAATCGATAAAAGTGTTTGACTGCGCAAGCGTTTTCTTGTAATATTTCTAGTGGAATATGTTATTAATGATGATAAGATTAAAACCAAACCTGATCCAGCTCCGATTAAATCAGAACAAGCCGTAGGGTCAATGACCCTTAGCTTAAACCAAATCTAATATATTTATCAGCAGCTACATGTTTGTAGTAATATATTCAAAAATTTTATAATCGAAATGAAAATAACAATACAAAACAACAAAACATTACAAAACAATTTAAATACAGATTTGTTAAACTTATCTTTAAATAAATCCGGTGTGTATCTAATTACTAATTTAGTTAATGGTAAAAAATACATAGGAAGTTCTGCTGTTTTAAAAAGAAGATATAATGAATATTCAAATCCTGAGTATATTGCTAGAAACTTAAAAAAAGGTAACAGTCAAATATTAAATGCTTTAATAAAATATGGTTACCTTAATTTTGAATTTAAAATATTAGAAACTATTGAATTTTTAGTCCGCAGGCGACTCAAACTAAATCTGAAAGAAGAAAATTACTCTTAGATAGAGAACAATATTATTTGGATGAAATTAAACCAGAATATAATATTAACCTAAAGGCTGGGAGTAATTTAGGAAGAACTTTTTCCGAAGAAGTTAGAAAAAAAATGAGTTTGGCAAAATCAGGAAAACCTGGAAACAAAAAAGGTGCAATATTATCTTCTGAATCCAGAGCTTTATTCAGAGAAAACAGCGGAATGGTTAAAGGTGTAAATATGCTAAATGAAAATAATGAAGTATTAGGTTATTTTAAATCTATTCAATTAGCTAGTGAAGCCACAGGAATTTCTAGAATTAGAATAAGTAGATGCGCCAGAGGCATTAGAAAAGAATTAAGGGAAAATGGAAAAGTATTTAAATTTGAATTTGTTGACACAGAAAATTAAATCAAACTACACTTACTTACATAGTAACTTTTGTCGCTTTAATTAGCAATAATTAAATGATAATTGGGTTAAATTAGAGAAAATCTTTCCAGGATAATAGAAAGATAACTTTAAGCGAAGCTGCTATCAACTGAACTTAAATTAGCAATAATGAGTCCGATAGTAGAACGTTCAACGACTAACAGGTGAGTTCAGTTAACAATAACCCTGACACGAAAACCCAACAACTATTTAAAGTCTAAAAATCTGGAAATAGTTGATGACATAGTCTAAACTTAATAGTGATATTAATAAAAAATTTAGAATAAAGAGTCTAAATTATAACAAAAATTGAAAAGTTACGCTAGGGATAACAGGCTGATAGCTGGGGAGAGTACACATTGTTCCAGCTGATTGGCACCTTGGAATTTACATCGGGGATTTTTAATAGAAATATTAAATTAGAAATATAACTGTATGCTTAAACCCTTATAGAGCTTTAATTAACATATATATTTTATATCGGTAAAAATAATTAAAGATTAGGCAATAAGCAGGTAAATTATTTAGCAAGTTTTAGCCTCAAGTCTTCTAAATAAAACCTCAACGATCATACGTTAACATTCATTGGCTATATTATTTGTATTCTATAATATTGGATGAAGATATGATCTAAATTTAATTGAGAGATTAAATGTATTAGTTTCTGTCTAACAGACTAATAATTGCGATGTCGACTCAATTGGGTGGAATTTTTAAGTTTTACTTTACTATTAAATTAGTTTTGTCCGAAGGGCGTGTTTACATCTTAATTTTTATTATTTTATTTTTTCTCTTGGTTAAACCTACTTGATATTCTGATAATATCTTGGTTAAGCCTTTTACGGTTACAGAATATAACAATTATTCCGTTTTATTCTGTTTAACTGTAGGGCAGTTCGCGGAGGTCTAATCCGCATCCGTACGGCAACTGCTTATAAAAACCTTTGTTTTTTTGAGGGCTATTTTTATTTACACAAATGAAAAGAAACGAACTTAACAACTTATTAACAAAAGTAGAAGTGATCTACTCTAATGCTGATCTGATGAAAACGCAAATAGTGAAAGAAAACTCCAATAAATGCGGAGTTTATCTTTGGTCAAATATTCTCTCAGGTAAAACATATGTTGGAAGTAGTATAAATTTAGGACGTAGATTTAAAAGCTACTTCACTTATTCACATATCTCTAGCCCTAAAAGATCAAATAGTTTGATTCATAAAGCTATACTGAAATACGGTTATTCCAATTTTCAATTGGAGATTCTTGAATATTGTGAACCAACATTTTGCCATGAGAGAGAACAGTATTATATGGATTTACTAAAACCGGAATATAATATTTTAACAAAAGCAGGATCTTCCGAAGGTTATACACACAACGAAGATACTCTTAAAAAAATGCAAGCGTTCTTAAAAAAACATAATGCTAAAAAAAGACTACCTGTTCAGATTACAGATATTAAGACAAATATCACTAAAAATTTTGATTCAATAGTAGCTACTGCTGCAGCATTAAATACTAATGAAAAAAACGTTAGATTTGCAGCAAAACATAGCAAACTTTTATTAAAAAGATATGTTGTCAAAATAGAACGAGAACCTTAAAACTAATTTAATGATAATTAATTCGAATAAAAATTTCGAATTGGATTGTATGCTGGAACTTCTTTAATAAATGAAGTTACAAAATTATTTTGTCAAAATACTTTCATTTGAGTTAACCAGCAGGTAACTTTTTACCTCAACGACTATACATTCAAAATCTTTGGTCCAAAGGGATTTAAAATTATTAAGATTAAGATATAGTCTATTACAGCTAGTCCACGACTTAAAATTTTATAAATCTTATTAGCTTTTTTAGTTATTATTACTAGATTTAGTTATAGTGTTTTTAAAATTAGCTGTAATGCAACCTATCCTCCTGGGGCAAAAGCTGGGAAGGGTTCGGCTGTTCGCCGATTAAAAGGTTACGCGAGTTGGGTTTAATAACAATAAGCCCCATCTTATTAATATTAATTAACTAAGATGAAAAAATCGGATAAATTGCGAAAAAAACTGTTATTTTAATTTCAGTTAATTTGCAGCCAATCGTGAAATAGTGAAATAATTCTATTCTTAGATTATTAAAGTTCACGAGGGTTCAACGACTAATAGGTAAGTTTCACTAACAAAACCTGACACGAACATCCGACATTCTTTAATGAATGATGACATAGTCTGAACAGTAGCGCAAGTTACTGATGTATTGTATAAAGAGTCATTACAATAACAAAATTGTTAATACGACGTGAGTCAGTATGGTCCCTATCTTCTGGAGGGACAAATAGTAAAAAGGGGAAGACCTTCTAGTACGAAAGGATCAATAGGCTGTGTTTCTCTAGTGTACCAATTGTTGAAATAATCATTACAGGAAGTAGGTGTCTAATTATTAATCCGTTTTTAAAAAAGAAATTTTTTAAGAGCTATTAAAATTTAAAGCTACTAACTTTTTATTTTTAAGTAAGCATAGTTGGGTAGCCACAAACATAATAGATAAGCGCTGAAGGAATCAAAGCAGGAAACTAGCCCCTAGATACTATCATTAGATAACTTAATATCTATAGAGCCTATGGCTTTTAGATATTAGGATTACTCTAATTTTATAAGAAATAGAACATTTCTAGATAGGATGCGAATGTAAGTACTGTAAAGTATTAAGTTTAGCATTACTAATTTAGTAAACAGACTTTTTGTTAAATATTGTCACAAAATTTTACACTAGCGTTAAAAATTCAATTATTCAATTATTCCGGGGCGCTTAAAAAAATAATAAATTGTTATCTTAGATAACAATTTACCCTTTAGTGACGCTCTGATAAAATTTGTTGCGCAGCAGATAAATTGATGCTATGCTAAAAAAAAAAATTATAAATAGTTACAAGTAACTATTTATAATTTTTTTAACTGCTTCGCCGCGAAGAAGCCTGCCTGAACAAATTTATCCGTAAGGCAAATGCGGCCGCGATCAAAGATCACAAAGATCTCTTTGCTTTTTTATTTTTTGTAGCAGACTAAAAAAAAATTATAAATAGTTACAAGTAACTATTTATAATTTTTTTAACTATTAAAAAATGATAATCAAGTTATAATTTTTTTATCAAACGCAATTAAATATTATAAAATTAAAAATAGTTACTTGTAACTATTTATAATTTTTTATTGCGCTGGCAGCAAAGCATCAGGAGCGGACAGCCAGATAAATTTTTATAAGCGCAATAAAAATTAATAGGGGAAATATGATAATTGGTAATCGGTTATATTTGCAATATAAAAAATGATAGTTCGAATCTATCTTTCTCCATTAAATTAAAACCATTTAAGCAAGCTACTAAATAATATTTAAAACTAAGAAAAAAAAAAAATTTTTTTTTTTTATTTTGTTTGTCTTAGGGCAGATAAGTAAATTTTTTTCCGAGCACAAATTCAATTTCATTAATGCTGTTACAACAACGCCTAAATATATCTTATTAGCCTTAAACATCAATTAGGGCCCTTAGCTTAATTGGTAGAGTACCCGATTGTCAATCGGGGAGATTTCAGTTCGAATCTGGAAGAGCTCGTTTGTTAATGGCAACTTTATTAGAATTATACCTGCTATCCTACGACTTTTAACTAAACTTCTAATTTGAAATATTCGTTATTTCAACTAAAAATATTTCAAATTTTGAGTGGTTATTAATATAGTTTCGTAAGGCCAGGTCTATGAAAAGAAGTTTATGTTTTATTTTAAAATTAAAAATTAATAAATATAAGTTACTAATTTGAAAAATTTAGGTTATTGAACCTAGTCCTTCACCATAATAATTAGAAAATAAAAAAAAATTTTTTTTTTTTTATAAATAAAAAATTATATGATAGTTTAAATATTTTTATAAAAAATCTAAAAAAAAAATAAGATAAGGCTTATTTAATTAATGGAAAAACCAAAAAAAAGGTGAATTAATCCCTAATAAGTTTGTAACTTCGAATTGTTCTAAAAGAGAATATCTAGTTTCTAAAAATAAAGACTTCTCATACATAAGCCGGAATAGTTTAATTGGTTAAAATAAATTCCTTGTAAGAATTTGTTATTGGTTCGAGTCCAATTTTTGGCTTTTAATTAAGAATAAAGAAATTATTAATTATTTTTATATACAACGCTAGGAAAATAAATAGATTAATTAAATTTAATCCCTTTATATTGAATTTATATCTAAATAAAATATAAAACAATGAAGAAATTTATACATACTAATTCTTTTAAATAAACTAGAAAGCCTGGGTAGCTTAATGGTAGAAGCGCTAATTTGAAGCATTGGAGAAATGAGTTCAATTCTCTTTCTGGGCAAAAATTCAAAAATCTAAGAGGGTAACATACGTAGTCCCTCTGAAAAATGCTTATTAATAAAAAATTTAATTTGCTAGGTTAAATGTTTAAAAAACTAAACCACTAAACATCAAAATCTAAAAAAAATCAAAATAAGATACTATATATACTATGATTATATCAAGGCCTACAATCAAAACCGCCTTTGTGTGACTAACCTTTTGGTACTTGTCAACATATTTAGTGAGTAATTGGGTCAGCATGATGGCTACAGATATTTTATCAGTCACCGAAAAGTCTAGTTAATTATTACAATTTTATTTTATACCTTGTTTTAATAATCCTTTTAAAATTTTTAATTTTGTACTTAAACTATTAGAATGTGCCTAATAAAATTTGTTTGGTGTCCTACTAAAGATACAAATTTTATAAGGAGCAGCTTTGCTGCGGAACAGCCGTAGCCTGGAAAAAAATTATATATAGTTAAAAAGTAACTATTTACTTTAGCATTTGCTAAAGTTAAAAATGAATATATTCTGCTAAGCTTTTGTCTGCTCTAGCGAAGAAGGGCAATTTTTTTTTATCCTGTACCTAGCGCTAAAAAAAATTATAAAAGAGTTATAAATTTTTTAAGACGGGTAATTCTAAATAACTTTGTTTAGATGATTGTATACTAATATAAAATCCTCAATATTATTATTTTAAACATAAGAATTATAATAAAAATTAATTAAATTAACTAACGCATCGCTAGCTGCCTTCTTCTGATACCGCTTTGCTGCTCTCTGGCTACGCTGGCTACGCTGGCTACGCCCTTGCGCTAATAAAAAAATTATAAATAGTTACTTGTAACTATTTATAATTTTTTTAACGCTTCGCTTCGTTGATGCTTTGCTTATAATAAAATTTTTATATTTATTGCTGCTGTGCTAAAAAAAAATTATAAATAGTTACAAGTAACTATTTATAATTTTTTTAACTGCTTCGCTCGCTTAAGCGGTAGCAGCGCTGCTCTGCGCTTATCAAATTTGGATATATATATTAAAATTTTATAAGCGACTGCTTCGCTTCGTTGCTTGCTGCACAATAAAAAATTATAAATAGTTACTTGTAACTATTTATAATTTTTTAAAGTACTAGAGCATCAGGCATGCGCAAGCTGCCTTCGGACCGAAGGCTTGTTTTTATTTTAGAATTTCTCAACTTTGTTGCTTGTTTCCGTTTATAAGATAGGTTGATAAAGATTAAATCCTTTAAATACTTTTTATTCTTTATTAATCCATTCATCTATCTCTAGAATCTAAGGGTAAAGGTGACAATGTTAACTAATAAAGAATTTAGATTTTTTTAATACCTACCACAAATACACTAACTAATTCATGATTAGTCAATGGTTTTGAGGTTTTAGGCGCTAAATAATCTTTTTTATTTTTTATAACATAATCATTACCATCAAGTTTACTAATAATAGGTATATCTCTATTAATTTGTTCTATAAAAACTATTTTGCATTTATTTCTAGATAATTAGCTTTACTGAAATAAATACTGATGAAAGCACTGTTAATTTTATCTTCTATTACGCACAAGTTATTATCTGTTGTAGCAAAGCAATCACAGGTAGTTTATAAAGGTAGCCCTGTTAAGTTATTACATAGAAAATGTATTTTAGATATATCAAGTGAATTAACTAAATTAGTTGCGCGGCTAAATAAAAATTGTTTTGCTTATATGATGCTCTGCTTCTAATAAAATTTGTATATTTATTGATGCTTTGCTAAAAAAAAATTATAAATAGTTACAAGTAACTATTTATAATTTTTTTAACTGCACCTCTAGCAAAAAAAAAAAATTATAAATAGTTACAAGTAACTATTTATAATTTTTTTTTAGCGCTAGCGCACTAATAAAATTTTTATAACTATAAAAAATTTTTATATCTATATAAAAATTTTATAAGCGCAAGCTGCCTTCGGACCGAAGGCAGCTAGGGCTACGCCAGACTCTTTAATCAAATTTTTATAATAGCTAAAGCAAGATTAAATGTTACTAGTTTTAGTTGTCATCATAGAATTTTTTTTATACTTTTTTTTTTTCTTTTATTTACTAAGGTCAGTTTTGGTAAAACAAAGTTTTTTTAATAAAATTAGTTTTAAAAGAGATCTTATTAGTACTATAATAAAAATTAAATAAATTATATTTAAAATAAACTAAAATATATTTTAGGCTTAAAAAATTTTAATCTAGTTATAAATTTTTTTTTTTGCCTAAATAAAAATTTTAGATATTTAATAAAATTTTTATAAATCCGAAGGCCACGACAAAATTAAAATTAACTAAAAATTTGATTTAGCAAGCGGTAATTTTTATTTTATTAGTTTTAAGAGAATTGATTAAGATAAATCTTAGGTCACCTGTAATCTTAAATTAGTTAGCATTTTAATTATTTTATGACGCAGGCGACTAAAAAAATTTATATAATAACTTTTTTAGTCTTACCTAAATAATGAGGTGTTAGCTTTATATTTTTAATATTTTTATGTTTTCCTTTTCCTTAATCATTTTTCCAAAATCTAATCAGAAATTGTTAAATACTTTCTAGGCTGAATATATAATTTAAATAATCGAGTTTTAAATAAAAAATTTATATTTATGATGCTCTGCTTATAATAAAATTTTTATATTTATATACAAATTTTATAAGCGCGTGCGCTTATAAAAGGGCTCTTCGCTCGCTTAAGCGGTAGCAGCGCTAGCGCTAAAAAAAAATTATAAATAGTTACTTGTAACTATTTATAATTTTTTTAACTAGCGAAGAGAAGCGAAGCAAAAGATCAAAGCGATAAATTTTTGTCCGAAGGGTAGCGCAACTAATTAATCAAAACTATTTTACTCTTATTTATGAAATTAAGGTTCAAAAGTACTAGTAATTAAGGAAGGTAAAACATTAAATTTAAATATAAAGGACAAAGTAAACTAAGATCTAAAGTATTCTAAATATAACAAATGTTACAAAATTTTTCTATTTTTAAAACTATATTTAATGATGCACCACAACCTTGGCAATTAGGTTTTCAAGATAGTGCTGCACCAGGATTCACAGGAATTGTGGAATTACATAATACAATATTTTTTTATTTAGTCGTTATCTCTGTTGGAGTTTTTTGGGTTTTAGGTTCAATTATTTATTACTACAATTCTAAAAAATCACCTATCGTACATAAATATCTTAACCACGGTACAAACAAAGTGCCTACATACTAAATATATTACATTTAAATCCCACCGTGCTTTCTTCTATGATGCTTGCACCGCTTGCGCGAAGCTAAGCATCGCTTCGCTAAAAAAAAATTATAAATAGTTACAAGTAACTATTTATAATTTTTTATTGCGCAATCGCTTAAGCGGTGCAAGCGATCAAATTTTATATTTATATAAAAGCCAGGGGATGAAAAATTAAATTAATGTATGTAAATTTTCACTTTATGCTGGAAAATTTTTTAAGTTAAATACTATAACAGCTCTAAATAAAAAAAAAATTTTTTTTTTTAATTTTTATATTAAAATTTTATAAACCTCTGCTAAAAAAAAAATTTATAACTTGTTTATAATTTTTTTAATACGCTAGGCCTACTAGACTAATAGGCTAAGCCACAGGGTGCTAAATAGCAAATTTATTTAATATCCGGGGCGCGGCTCTAATAAAATTTGTATATTAATATCAAAATTTGATTAGTTTAAAAAATTATAAATAGTTACTTGTAACTATTTATAATTTTTTTTTAAGCGCTAGCGCACAGAGGCAGTGCCTGCCTGCCGCAGGCTTATAAAATAAGCTTTTTATATCTATATAAAAATTTTATTAGGCTAAATAAAAATTTTATATTTAATAAAATTTTTATAAGCGCTAGCGCAGGAACGGACAGCCCGATAAAAACAAAAAAAAAAATTTTTTTTTTTTTTATTGCGTCCACAGACGGAGCAGTTAAAAAATTATAATAAAGTTATAATTTTTTTTAGCCCGGAAATTTTTATTTAGAGCCAGAGGGGTAAAAATTTTAACTTTATGATGCTCTGCTTCGCTAGAGTCGCGCAAGCGGATGCTTTGCTTTGCTGCGCAAGCAAGCGGTCGAAGGCTATCGCGGCCACGAAGCGAAGCAAAAGATCACAAAGCGGTGCTTATAAAATTTGTATATCGGGGCTTTTAAAAATTTTATTAAATATCAAATTTTTGCTAGTTAAAAAAATTATAAATAGTTACTTGTAACTATTTATAATTTTTTTTTAGTCTACGGCCGTAGTTCTAAAAAATAATTGTTATCTTTGTGTGCGTAGCGCGTAGATGAACAGAAACCATTTTTTAAAGCTCGCAGATATCAAAATTTGATTAGTTAAAAAAATTATAAATAGTTACTTGTAACTATTTATAATTTTTTTTTAAGCGCTTGCGCCGCTGTGATACCGCTTTGCTAAAAAAAAATTATAAATAGTTACAAGTAACTATTTATAATTTTTTTAACTGCTTTGCTTCGCTTCGTTGCCTTCGCTGCTACCGCTTAAGCGAGCGAAGGCAAAGCAGAGCAGCACAGAAAAATAATCCGCAGGATATCTATTTAAATATCCTCATCGACTTTACGTGAAATATAAATTTAAAGGTTGACATAACTAATAGTAATGCACTCAAATTCTAGTTTTTACTTATTACACTCAGATCTTGACCTTTTTATTTATAAAGATAAAGTCAGCTCCCTTTAGACCCTGTCCATTTTTTTTTTACGTATTGCCTTATAAAAATTTTATTAAATAAATTATCGGGGCTTTTAAAAATTTGATTAAATATAAAATTTTTATCTAGCGCTAGTTAAAAAAATTATAAATAGTTACTTGTAACTATTTATAATTTTTTTTAAGGTCTACTTAGTAGTTTATAAAAATTTGATTAAATATAAAATTTTTATTTAGCCCTTCTTCGCTAGAGCAGATAAGCAAAAATTTTTATTTAGCGATAGAATTTTTAACTTAAAACCTTAAAATGTTAAAATTTAATTAAATAAAAATTTAAGGGTCTTTAAATTTTATGGAGTGACATTAATTGAATTGATATGGACTATCACTCCAGCTTTAATTTTAATAGCTATCGCTTTCCCTTCATTCAGATTACTTTATCTTTTAGATGAAGTTATTAGTCCTACAATCACAATCAAAGTAGTAGGGCACCAATGGTATTGGTCTTATGAATACAGCGATTATGTAAATGAAAGTGGAGAATCTATAGAATTCGATAGTTACATGTTGCCTGAATCAGATTTAGAATTAGGTCAATTTAGATTATTAGATGTTGATAATAAAGTTATTGTACCTGTAGATACTCACATTAGATTAATAGTAACTGGTGAATCCTTTGCCCTTATTATGCAGCACTTCCTTTAGTCTTAGTAGCCCTGGCTTTGCTAAATAAACATTGTTTGGGCGCAGCCGCTAGCTAGCTAATAAAATTTGTATATCGGGGCTTTTAAAAATTTTATTAAATATCAAATTTTTGCTAGTTAAAAAAATTATAAATAGTTACTTGTAACTATTTATAATTTTTTTTAGTCTACGGCCGTAGTTCTAAAAAATAATTGTTATCTTTGTGTGCGTAGCGCGTAGATGAACAGAAACCATTTTTTAAAGCCCGCAGATCTCAAAATTTGATTAACTAAAAAAAAATATAAATAGTTACAAGTAACTATTTATAATTTTTTTAACTGCTTCTTCGCTGCTCTGCTTCTTCGCTAGAGCAGCGAAGAAGTAGCGAAGCAAGCGATGCTAAAGCAAGCGATGCTAAAGCAAGGGCGTAGCCAGAGAGCCAGACTCTTTAATCAAATTTTGATAAGTGCCTTCATTTAATTTGAATCTTGCTATATGCTGGAATACTCTTATTTTTTTAATTAATCTACCTACTAATTACCAGAGGTTAAAATGATTTATTTTATACTGTGCCATACGGCGCTAAAGCAAAAAGGGCAATCAGCAGGAAACCTTTTTAAATTTGTTATTAATTATCCAGCTCTAATAAAAAAATGATAAGTAGTTATCATTTTTTTTAGCGCTAGGATTCTTAAAGCTGAAAATTTTTAGGCTCCTCAGAGGCTATATGCAAGAAGTCTATTTAGACTATGATATAGTCCAAGTGTATATTTTAATAAAATTATATTTTAAGAAGATGGTTTTGTATTTTCAAACAATATCCTTAAATTCTAGGTGTAACTACAACGATCGTCGCTAAAAAAAAAATTATAAATAGTTACAAGAAACTATTTATAATTTTTTTTAACTGCTTCGCCGCGTCTGTGCTTTAGTCGCGCAAGCGGTCGAAGGCAATCGCTTAAGCGGTGCAAGCGGATGCTTTAGTCCTTTAAAAAATTATAAATAGTTACAAGTAACTATTTATAATTTTTTTAACTAATCAAATTTTGATATCTATATACAAATTTTATAAGCATCGCTGGCTGTGATCTTTTATCGTTGCCCGATCAAAGATAAAAGAAGCTAAAGCATCAGCAAAGCAAAGCGGTATCAACGAAGCCACTAAACAGTCACATATTATTAGTTAAAAAGTATTAACCAATTGTACTAGTTTAGTTCCCTATGGTACAAATTTAGTCTCTGGCACTACACTAAATATAGGTACGCACTGCCTTTAGTCGCTTGCGGCGGTGCCTTGTCTCAAAATCTTCAAAGATTAATTTATCTGCTCTACAATATTTATTCAATAATAGCGGGTAAATTATTATCTGAGGGTTGTTTAGATAAAGAAAATTTAAATGCTAATACTAGATTTAGATTTAAACAAGCAGATGCAAAATCTGATTTTGTTATTTATTCATTTCTTCTTTTTTCCCATTATTGCTCTAGTGTTGCTTATAAAATTTTTATTTAAGCTGTGCTAAAAAAAAATTATAAATAGTTACAAGTAACTATTTATAATTTTTTTAACTGCTCTCTAGCGAAGAGCTAAGCAAGGCAAGCGATCAAATTTTATTAGAGCGATAAACTTCATCTTGATGCAAATATTTATTAATAACACTTGGCGGATGTAATTCATTCTTGGGCTGTACCTTCTTTAGGTATTAAAATCGATGCTGTTCCTGGTAGATTAAATCAAACTTCAATCTTAGCAGAAAGAGCTGGTACTTTCTATGGTCGAATATTGGCCAAAACTGTAGTGAACCTATGGTTATAAATCATCAAATTGCGGGAAATCCCTAAAGGAATCTTAACCAAGTAAGTATGGTAACATAACTTATGGCACAGGTAATGACTCGTGGTAAGGTAAAATCAAGATTTATTATTCAATGGGCAATCCGCAGCCAAATGCCAAATATCTAATAAATGGTATGCAGTTCATCGACTAGACGGTGGTTGGTGTTATTAGTGTTAATAATGCTTAAGATATAGTCAGGCCCCTCCTGAAAAGGAGCAGAAAAATATGAGTATTCTTCATATTTTTTGTTAAATAGATATCTATTAATTCGTTAATTTTATTTAGGGATTTCTACAATAGTTTGATAAACTTATTTAATGTAAAATGAAATCTTAGCCTAAAACAGATAAAGCACTTGTCTTTCATATGAAATACTATTGTAGTATTTGCAGAATACAATTAGTAGTAGTGTTTTTAATAGTCACTTCATATCTGCTAAACGTATTGGATTAGTGCTGATCTTTTATGCCTTCGTTAAAAAAAAAATTATAATTTTTTTAAGCGCTGCTTGCGCAAGCGAGGCTAGCTGCCTTAAAAAAAAAATTATCATTTTTTTTTTATATGCGCTTATAAAATTTGTATATTTATTGATGCTTTGCTTCTAATAAAATTTGTATATCGGGGCTTTTAAAAATTTTATTAAATATCAAATTTTGGCTAGTTAAAAAAATTATAAATAGTTACTTGTAACTATTTATAATTTTTTTTTAGTCTACGGCCGCCCTTCTTCGTAGATAAACAGGACAAAACAAAAATTGCCCTTCTTCGCTAGAGCAGACAAAAGCTTAGCATAATATATTAATTTTTAACATTAGCAAATGCTAAAGTAAATAGTTACAAAGTCACTATTTATAAATTTTTTTCCCTTAAAAAATTTATAACTCTGTTATAAATTTTTTTTAGCCCGGAAATATCAAAATTTTATAAGCTTCTGGCTCTGCCTTTGATCTTTTATCGGGCAACGAAGCGAAGCAAAAGATCACAGCGTGCGCAAGCGAGGCTGTGATACCGCTTTGCTGCTCTCTGGCTACGCCCTAGCTTGCGCTAAAGCATCCGCTTGCGCACAGTCGCGCAAGCGGTCGAAGGCGGCCTTCGGATGCTTGCTTCGCTTCGATGCTAAAAAAAATTATAAATAGTTACAAGTAACTATTTATAATTTTTTGAACTGTTCGCTAGAGCAGCGCTGCGATCAAATTTATCCGTAAGGCCAAGCGCTAGCTATAAATTTTAATTTAAAGATAATTAAATTAAAATTTAAAGAGCTAGAGCATCAAGGCATAATAAAAATTTTATTAGCCAGAGGCTAATAAAATTTTTATAGTGCAACTAGGATTATTATAAAGATTTATCTATTACATTAAATAATTGTGGATTTGCAATGTTCTGAAATCTGTGGAGTTTGGCACGGATTCATGCCAATTGCAGTAGAAGCAGTACCAGTTCAAGATTACTTAGCTTGGATTGATAGCAATTAAAACTAATGCTCCTTAATTACTGAATATACCTTTAATTCTAACTATAAATGGTAAATTGAATTTATAACCCCCCTCTGATCGTGGTTCTAATAAAATTTTTATATCGGGGCTTTTAAAAATTTTATTAAATATCAAATTTTGGCTAGTTAAAAAAATTATAAATAGTTACTTGTAACTATTTATAATTTTTTTTTAGTCTACGGCCGCCCTTCTTCGTAGATAAACAGGACAAAACAAAAATTTATTTAAAAGCTTAGCATAATATATTAATTTTTAACATTAGCAAATGCTAAAGTAAATAGTTACAAAGTCACTATTTATAAATTTTTTTTCCTTAAAAAATTTATAACTCTGTTATAAATTTTTTTTAGCCCGCAAATATAAAAATTTTATTAGATCAAAGATCGGAAGTAGGCAGGCCTATTTTTGTGAGCGCTAGGCGAAGGGCAGCTGCCGTAGTCTTTAAAATTTAGAGTAAAGATTTTAAATTTTTAATGCCCTGATCTGTGATCCTTATAATATAATTAAGTGCCTAAAAAAAATTATAACTATAATATAAATTTTTTTATCACTTTAAAATATTTTAAGATCTATCAATTTTAAAAGAGTAGTATTTTATTTTATAAATTTTTTTTAAATAAACATTTTTGTGGGGTTTTGTTTACAGATGGTTCTGTAGTAGGCCTGCAAAGCTTAATTTTAGGGTTCAAATCCTTCAAAACCCTTTATTAATCAATATTAAATTTGGCCGTGTCTTATAAAATTTTTATATTTATATCTAAATTTTATTAGTCTGAGGGAGAATTCTAATTACATTTAAAATTAAATTTCTAATCATTTTCCCACCTAAATTTAGAGGTTCCTACATAGAGTAGTTCGAATTATTTTAGATCCAAAGTTTCTGGGTACCACACACGTTTTACGCTCGAATTAACTAGAGTTTGTAAAATAATCAATTTAAATTGAACCAAAATCAATTTTACATATTAGTTCTGCTGATCTTTTATCGTGTGTCCAGCGTGCGCAAGCGAGATCAAAGATCAGACTAAATAAAAATTGTTTAGCAAGGGCATCGCTAGCTGCCAGCCTGATGCTCTAGCTCTTTAAATTTTAATTTAATTATCATTAAATTAAAATTTATAGCAAGCGCTTGGGCTCTTCGCTCGCTTAAGCGGTAGCAGCGCTAGCGCTAAAAAAAATTTATAAATAGTTACTTGTAACTATTTATAATTTTTTTAACTAGCGAAGAGAAGCGAAGCAAAGCAGAGCAGCAAAGCGGTATCACAAAGCGGTAGAAGCAGCGCTTAAAAAAATTATAACTTTTTTTAGGCTAGCGCTTATAAAATTTTTATATAAATATCCAAATTTTATTAACAAACGATCAAAGATAAGAAAGCGGTATCAGCGACGATCAAAGATCACAGAGGAACGGACAGCCTGATAAATTTTTTTATACTTTCTCTTAGTTTAAAGGTAAAACAACATTCTTCTAAAGTGTTAACTTTGGTTCGAGTCCAAAAGAGAATTTACTTATTTAATATATTAACCCAAGCTTGGCTTGCGTTAGTCCTCAAGGTCTTAAAAAAAAGGGCCGCCTAATAAAATTTCATTTTTATAATATCTAAAAATGAAATTTTATAGTCGCGTAATAAAATTTAAGCGCTTGCCTTTTATTATGGCTAAGTTATTTAAAATGGTCACAGTGAATTATAAGTTAAAAAAAAATAAATTAACAGATATTTCTATTAATTTATTGTAATAGTGTCAAGATTAAGGAGGTTTCCATAGGTTTCGCTTTTAATTAATAATAAATTTCTTAGTCAATTACACTTAAGGTACTTATTGTCAAAAAAAAAATAATCTTGCGCTCTGCTTTGGCATAGTTATATTAACTTATAACTATAGCTCCTGCGCGTACGCTCTAATAATATTTAGATCTAAAAATTTTATTAGCGCAGCTAACTGAAGCGAGCCTGCGTCAGTTTTTTATTTAGGGTAAGTCAGAGCTATTTGATAATAAAATAAAGTTTTGTATTACGATTAATTATTAATCATATTTTTCTTACTTAATTAGTTAAGCAATTTAATTTGAGTAAATTTCAACTACTAACTCTTATGTGTGATTGTTAATATCGAAACTGGGTCAAGTGTTTAATTTAGATTTTCTCCTATTCTTAATTAGAGTCTGCCCTATTCTAACAATAGGTTTTTCTCCGCTAGGGTTAGCTGTGATACCGCTTTGCTGCTCTCTGGCTACGCTGGCTACGCTGGCTACGCCCTTGCGCTAAAAAAAAATTATAAATAGTTACTTGTAACTATTTATAATTTTTTTAACGCTTCGCTTCGTTGCTGCTTTGCTCTGATCTTTTATCGTTTGATAATAAAATTTTTATATTGCAAGCGATAAAATTTATCCGTAAGGCCAAGCGCACACTAAGTTAGGTATTATTACCCTTAAAAAAAACAAATTTTTTTGTGTTTCTAGAGGTAAGAAAGATAGATAATATCTTAATATTTAATAAATCTAGTCTAAGTATTTATTTTTAGAAAATAATACTTAATATTTAATATATTTAATTTTAATATTTCTCCCCTTAAAAAATTAAAAATATAAATATTACCAAACGCCTTTTAAGTAAGGTTTAATATATAAAAATGATAAATAATAACTTAATTTTAATTATTTTAAATACATTAATTAGTTTAATTGATGTTTTACTAGTTTTATTACCAGTTTTACTTTCTGTTGCTTTCATGACTATTATTGAAAGAAAACAATTAGCTGCGCATCAAAGAAGAGTAGGTCCTAATACAGTAGGTTACTACGGAATATTACAACCATTCAGTGATGCTTTAAAACTTATTCTTAAAGAAACAGTTATACCTTCTCAATCTAATAAAATTTTATTTTATTTAGCACCTGTTTCTACTTTAATTTTTAGTTTATTAGGTTGGGGTATTATACCTTTTGGTCAAGGTTTAACTCTTTTTGATTTTTCTTTAGGAATTTTATACACTTTAGCTCTATCTTCTTTAGGTGTCTACGGGGTTTTATTTGCTGGTTGGTCAGCTAACTCTAAATATGCCTTTTTAGGATCATTAAGATCAACTGCAGCTATGATTAGTTATGAGTTAATCTTGAGTTCTGCTATTTTAATCGTTATTTTATTAGCAGGATCATTTAATTTTACTACAATTATTGAAAGTCAAGAAGCTATTTGGTTTGTAGTTCCTTTATTACCTGTTTTCATATTTTACTTCATTTCTATTTTAGCTGAAACTTCTAGAACACCTTTTGATTTACAAGAGGCTAAGAACCACTACTATTAAAAAAGATTTGGCCTCTATAAAGATCGCTATTATGCTGGAAACTCCTAAAAACTTGAATACTATTTATTTTTATACCAAATAGTCACAATTTCAATGTATGTTACAATGGACAATCAGCAGGAACCAAATTGTATTAAGCAATACAAGAAATGTAACCTCAGAGGCAATACGCGATCATTTCTTTATGAATTAAGGAAATATGATATAGTCCAGCTATAACTGAAAGGTTATGGTTTGTACTTAAATTATTATTTATTTTGCTGTTTATTGTATACCTAATTTTCAATTATAACTCTCAATGCGAAAATTTAAATTTTTTATCTTTATTTAGTATTCTTCAGTTTAACGTTGTACCTGTTAAACCTTTAGTAACTTATGATGATCTTTCTAATACTAACCTGTTAAGAAAAGAATTAAAAAATAAAGCAGGTGTTTATGGTATAATAAATACTAAAACTTCTAAACAATATATTGGTTCTAGTTTAAATCTATATTCTAGATTAATGGATCATATTAAAGGAAGAGAATCAAACTTAAGATTACAAAGATCTATTCATAAAGATGGACTAAGTTTTTTTAAGGTAGTTATATATTTTTTCCATAATGATCCTGCTGTATTGCTAACTGATATTGAAACAACCCTTTTTCTTCTTTATATAATTTTAAAAAAGAGGGTAATTCAATGTTAGGCTACAAACACACAAAACAAGCAATAGAAAAAATGAAATTAAGATTTGCAAACAAGAGTAATCATCCTATGTTTGGTAAAAAACACAGTGAATCTGTGTTAAGTTTAATAAGTAAACCTGGAAAATTAAATCCTATGTTTGGTAAAACCCATAATGAAAATACTAAAAATTTAATATCCATTAAACAAAGTATTAGACCTTTAGGGTTATATGATGAAAACAATAATTTAATTGAAAAATACTCTAATCAAGTAAAATTAGCAATTAAATTTAATGTTCATAAAACTACTATTTCTAGGTATATTAAATCAGGTAAACTTTTTAAAGGTAAATTTTACATTAAAGAAATTAAATCTTAATTTTTCAAAAAATAATTTTTTTTTGTATGTATAATAATAAATAATTTTATTTAACTCTTTATTTTTTATTATTTATTTTTTGTGGAATCGGAATTGGTGGCTGGTTTCTTCACGGAACATAGTTCTATTATATTCGTTTTCTTCTTCTTGGCTGAGTATTCTTCAATTGTACTGTTTTCATGTATAACAGCTATTTTATTCTTCGGTGGTTATAACATGCCAGAATTATTTGTAAATAACACATTCATAAGTTTACAAGCAGTAGTACTAGGTTTAAAAACATGTGTATTCTGTTTCATGTTTGTTTGGTTTAGAGCAACTCTGCCAAGACTTAGATACGACCAATTAATCGAATTCTGTTGGCTAAATTTACTACCAGTTGCAGTTGCATTTATTATACTTGTTCCATGTATTTTAGTTGCATTCGATATAGCACCTTACTAATGTTTAGTGTTCTAATTTTCTTATTTTTTTTTTATTTTACAAATCCCCCTATCATTATTTGAAAATGACATTAGTTCAATTACTTATGCTTACTGTTTAATAATAGGATACGGGCAAAATAAAAACAACTTATTACAAAATAAATATACTAAAAAAAGGTTAATATCAAATGTTGCAAGGGCTACACCAGACACAGCTAAAAGAAATTTAGTCTGTGATGCAGATTTTTATGAGTGGTTAAGAGGATTTACAGATGCTGTCCGTCCGTAGGGCGGGGCGGTTGTTTTTCAATATTTAAACAAGGTGATTACTTTAAATTTAGATTCCAAATAAAACTACATTGCGATGACAGACCCTTGTTGGAATATATTCAAAATAGATTACAAATAGGTAAAGTATATCCTTTAAATCTAAATTCTCAAACTGATCATGCAAGATGGGTAGTAGTGTCAAAAAAAGACTTATATAAATTAATTAAAATTTTTGATATTAATCCTCTTAATACAACTAAATATTTAGATTACATTAATTGGAAAGAAGCTTTTTTGTGATATTTTTCATTAAAAACAGAGAATATATCTCTTCACGCTTGCACCGCTTAAGCGATTGCTCAATAAAAAATTATAAATAGTTACTTGTAACTATTTATAATTTTTTAAAGGACTAAAGCATCCGCTTTGTGATCTTTTGCTTCGCTTCGTGGCCTTCGCTCGCTTAAGCGGTAGCAGCGAAGCGAAGCAGCGCAATAAAAAATTATAAATAGTTACTTGTAACTATTTATAATTTTTTAAAGGACTAAAGCATCCGCTGAAGCGATTGCCTTCGGACTAAAGCATCCCTTCTTCGCTAGTTAAAAAAATTATAAATAGTTACAAGTAACTATTTATAATTTTTTTTTAGCGCAGCAAAGCAAAGCATCGCTTCGCAGAAGAGGTTAAAACTAAAAATTTTAATTTACAATCTTGCATGAATGACAATAGAACAAACTTTGACTATCCACAAGATCATAAAGTCAAAATAACTCCATATTGGCTACTTGGGTTCACTGAAGGTGAAGCTCACTTTGGAGTAAATAAAATTGATTTCTCTCAAGCTTATGCTTTAGAGCAGATACACTATCAACAGAAAATCATTGAATCCATAAGAGAGTTTTTACAAAGTATTAATATTGATTTTTTTAAAAACTCAATGATCAAATCTAATATAATCAGTATTCATAATCTACCAGCTAGAAATACCAGTAAGCCTAAAATTAGAATTACTATTAGAAATTTAAAATATCTATCTGAAGTTTTAATACCTTTTTTTGATAAATTAACTTTTTTTTCTAAAAAAGGCTTAGATTATCAAGACTGGAGAATTGTTGCTAAACTTAGATTAGATAATAAACATTTAACTCCTGAAGGAGGAGAATTAATCACCCACCCGCATAAGCGCTTGTAATCGAATAAATAAAAATAGTCGCTTGCGCATCGCTTGCGCATACAAATATTAGTAGTTTAAATAAATTTAACCTTTCAGAAATGGAGGAAATTGATCTTAGAATAAATAATTTATTACAAAAGTCAAAGTCGGGAGTTTGGGTTTACGATAATGGTAATTTGGTTGAAGGATCACCCTTTTTAAATATTAGTCAAGCATGTAAAGCTGTAGGTGTTGGCCCTAGATCCTCTTATTTAAACACAAATAAATTGGTACAAAAGAG